AGAGAGAGAGAGAGAGAGAGAGAGAGAGAGAGAGAGAGAGAGAGAGAGAGAGAGAGAGAGAGAGAGAGAGAGAGAGAGGGACGGAGGGAAGGAGGAACGCTATATAGTGACTCAGCGCACTGAGTCTCAGTAAGATCTACCCACTTTTAACCGGTATCGACACTCCTGTGCAGTCAATTAACTGCACAAAACTGCTGCTTCTGCAGCGGATACTTATCTCCGCAAGTGTATGGCACGCTAACCTACTTTCGACCTATTACAAACGAAGCGAGCGAGCGCGCCCCTGTGTGTGTGTGTGTGTGTGTGTGTGTGTGCGTGTGTGTCTGTGTGGGTGTGTGGGTGTGTGTGGGTGTGTGTGTGTGTGTGAGAGAGAGAGAGAGAGAGCACGCTTTTATGTGCAAGCGGAGCAGGCGGAGGGGGCTGTGGCGGGAGGCTTGGGGCAGTAGTTGAGACTGCCCCCTTCGACGGAGGCATCATTGGTGGTCTTGTCCTGGGCTGAATTGCCTGCGAAGGTCGTGGAGCTGCAGATCACGACCTCACGATCCTCAAGGAGAACGCGAAGGGCCCCTCCCAGTCCGTTGGGAGCGGAATTGGCGGTGAAGGAGGTCTTGGCTATGGTGGCATCGGACTCGCTCAGCAGCAGCGCTCCTCCGTTGTTTCCCGCCTTATTGGCGGCGAAGGCACAGGACAGCGCCTTCACACTGGATTCTCTGAAGTACGCCGCACCGCCGAAAAGCCCCGCCTTGTTGCCAGACAGCCCGGTGTTCTTCAGCTCTCCGAAGCTGTTGCTCCACACAATGAGCGCGCCTCCCGAGCCATCGGCGCTGTTTTCAGTGAACATGCTGTCGGAGATGGTGAACTGCGAGTCTAGCATGGCGATGGCGCCGCCGCCTGCCTTCTGCGCCCTGTTTCCGCGAAACACGCATTTGGACACCGTCAGCGGCCCGCCACTCACGTAGACGGCTCCGCCGCTCGTGTCATAGCCGTCAGAGTTCAAGTTCGTTCCCACCGTGGTCATCCCCACCAACTCCAAGTTCGACAGCGAGAGAGAGGAACTCGTGACGAATCCGCGGAACTTCCCTTGCCCGTCGATCGCACAGCCCCTGCCTCCACAGTTCCCCACCAAAGTGAAGTCTTTGTTCAGCGCTGGAAGAGAACTTGTCAGCTTCACGCTCGCCGTCAACTCGTATCGGCTTGTCGTTGTGTCGGTCATTGCTGCTCGTAACAGCGACTCAGCGGACGGCGCCCCCCGCAGAGATCTACCCTGCCCCGGGGGCATGCATACCACGCTCGAGATGATGCAGGCCACCATAAAGCCCATCATCAGAACTCTTGCCGCAGCAGACGGCGAGCCAAATTGTTGACGCTCCATTGTTTGCGCGGTCTACTTCGCCCGCTCTCGCTTCTTCCTTTTCCTCTTCTTCTCGTCGTTCTCCACTTCCCGCTTTCCCTCTCGCGCGCTTCTGTTGCTTCTTCAGTTGCTTCTGCTTCTTCAACGTGATTGACCCCACACGAGCTGATGGTATCCCCTGTGGGTGGAAGATGATGTGGCCTGCACTCAGCGTACTAGTTAGTTGTGAACGTGCTCAGCGCCCTCCTCCTCTTTTATAGTCTCCCACAGAGATGTTGCCGGGGGTTCAGTCTACCCGTTTCACCAAATCATCCCTCTTCGCAAATGGCAGCATGGATTACACAGAGGTGTGAGGACCTCAAGGGGACCTAAAAGGGACCTAAATGGGACCTAAATGGGACCTAAATGTCCCTTGTTTGCGTCAGTCACGCAAATGGGTACAGTAAGCTTTCGGACTCAGCCTCTACTTTGCTGATGGCGTATTACACATCGTGTGGCACAGCTGGAATGGGGCGTGCCCCCACGGTGTCGCACAGTCCCAAGTGCAGCTTCTTCTGGTAGTAATGGAACCACGCCATGTGGCATCTGTTGAGATTGGGAGGATACATGGGGCGTCGCTCCACTGCTCGCCACAAGCACAAAAGTCAAAACATATGGCAGTCTTGCCAGTCTATCTTCCCAGGCCATGTTCTAGCAGAAGATTCATTCTCAATTTGCACATTTGGTGAGTAGTGCGGCGAGGACCATGGTCCCTGATGTAAGGATGACGCACACACACTGGGACACAGTCGAAATTAAGCAATAAAAAAATCACCCGGGCCGGGGGTTCACCTGCTCATATATGTCAAGACTGTTGCCCAAAAGGGGGAAAAAACAAAGAAGTGGGGACACTCAACGGAATTCATCTATGGCCCACCCTCTTAGCTGGTCTGGGTAAAATGTCAGTAGCTGGGAAAAGTAGTATTGACTGAGGGCATGCTCACACCCGGACCTGATAACCTAAATCCCCAAATTTTGAGGTAGATTTCGGGTCACACTGGGTCCTCCCTGTTCCCTTTTTGTACTTTTTAGTGAGCTAAATGTCAGCCGCCTGCGAGGCCAAATTCTCTTTTTGAAATTTTCATTTTCCAAAGGACCAAAGAAATTGTAAAAATTCATGCATGAAGAGGGCAGACCCCTTGTTATTTTAGCATTGAAAAGAAAAAAGAATAAGACCCTTTTTTTGTTGTTGGTGGCGTGCTGTGTCGCTGCGTGCACTTGGCTAAGTTGGCTTGGTCTCCAACTGGGTGGGTGGCAACTCTGTCCTTTCTGGAGTCTGGACAGGGTCCACCCTGGGGTACCGAAAGTCTCAAATTCGCATCGCGGGACCAAATGCTGCAAAAATTTGAGACTTTAGGTCCTGGGGTGAGTATGGCCCGAAACACTCACCGAACTCGGGTTTTGGTTAGGTGGTGGTCCTTGCAGCACTCACCAAACTTTGCCCTGTCAGAAAATCATCAGAAGTGGTGGGGACTCGGGGCATACTCACACGAGGACCAAATGAACCAGAATCCAAAAATTTGAGTAATTTTTCGGGTCACACTGGAGAGGCTCGCCACCCCAAATGCCTCAAACGGTGACCCTTCTGTCAGCGGCCTGCAGGGCTGTCTCAAATTACCTTTCGTTTTTTTTTTTCTATGTTCGCGAATTGAAGAGAATAGTAGACCAAGAAGACAGCCCAGCACTCCGTATAGACGAACTCCTGACGGAAGCTGTCATCTCCTGAAGATAGCATCCAACCCTTTATGGGCAGCATACATCTCAGTCATCTTCTACCACAGCCTGCTTAGTGGCAGGCCTTCTTCTGGTCCTTTTATTTCTGCCAACGACCTGCTCAGTCAATCCCAAAATTTGAGGCAGTTTTCGGGTCACATGGAGAGGCGCCCTACCCAAATGCACTTTTCAGGGACCCTTTTGTCAGCAGCATGTGCGGCCATGGGAGGACTCTTTTTCTGACCACCTCCAGAGATGATCTCAAATTACCTTTTCGATTTTTCTTTCTCCGTGAGGTAGTTCAACAAATTTGTGCATTAGGAAAACAGCCGTGAGTGTTAATTCAGCATGGAAAATACAAAAAAAGGAAACTCTATATATTTTTTGGGGTACTAAGCACTGTGACTACCTGCACTTCCTGGGAGATGCAAATGTCAGGGCCGTGACTGTGTCCTGTGTCGACAGAGAACGTGTGTGTGACCACACGAGCACCCAAACGAGCAAATACATGGTACCAAACGTCCCAGATATTTGCGACTTTAGGTCCCCGTGTGAGTATGCCCTCAGTCGCCACTAGGTGACTTCTCACCAGACTGGTTTCCTTTCCTGCCCTCAAACGAGTCTAAGACTTAGTGTTTACTCATCAGATTGCCCAGTGGCAGAAGACTTTGCTTGAGTCATTCTGAAACGCCATTGGGTCAGGTGCAGGCAAGATTCCTCGCCAGACTCGTTCGAAATTGCTTGCCCTTACACGGATTGACGAGTGCTGTGGAAAGGCCTGAACCCAAGATGAACCACACCAATTTTGGACCTCAGTGGTTCGTGGAGGGGGTAGTGAAAGCGGCCGGGTATGAGAACTGGAAAGGACTAGCGCATAAAGTGCCGAAGAATACTTTTGGGATCATTCAGGGTGAGAATAGGAGAGGGCTAGCCAGGTCAAATTCATTTTTGGATTACTTTGTTTGGTGTGAATTTGACTTTCTTTCGTATGCATTTCTTAGGTCCACAAAGCGCCCCAGTCTGTCCTCAGTCTGGGCGCATCTGGGACTGGCCAAATTGTTGGCACCCCAAACCTTCCCAGCGAAGGGTGGCACTTCTTGCAAGACCTCACCAAAAGGTGCGAACGGGCGCCCAGCTCAGGGCACGCTCACACTGCGGTACCAAATCCGCATAATCCCTAAAAGATAGTGTAGAGGGGCAGTGACACCCAGTTCGTGTTTTCGCAAACTACCCTTTTGTCAGCAGTCTGAGAAGCCGTGGGGTTTGGGAATTTGTGGTAACCTCGGGGTTACCTCAAGTTCCTTATTCTTTTTCTAATTAACTTTCACAAAATGATAGAAAATTCGTAAACGAAGATATTGGCGAGATAGCAATTGGGGGAAAGTGAGAAAAATAAAAGAAATACAGAAAATCTTGTGAGGGAAAAAGGGTGTCTGCCACGTGACTGGCTACCTCCGAAGCTCCACACAGCGTGAACCGCCGCGACCAGGAAATGGGAGATTTGAGGACAGTGTGTGACAGGCTCTCCCACTATTTCCCCAAATGAGGCCTTACTATTTTTCAAGAGAGGAAACTGCTCCAGTGTCACTCTTTCAGTTTGAAATAGGCAGGAAAAACACTACGTCGCAACTTCAACATCGGAGGTGTTCAAAACGGCAAAAAAAAACATACGTAGCAGCCGTACCAGGGCTGTAGTTCGTTAGAGGCAAAAACAGCAGAAAAAGAGGGTCCAACACAGGGAACTACGGGGACCTTTGTCGACCCACCAACCGGGACCTTTGTAGACCACCAGGACCTTTGGACAGAGTAGCACAGCGGCCTCAACGCCCACATCTGGACGTGTTTGTGGAGAGGGTGCAGGTTCTGTGATGTGGGGTTAAGGAAATAAGAATGCCATTTCTGCACATATCCACCAACACGTCCAGATTCGGGTGTTGACAAAACTCAACACTGTTGGTGGGACTTGGCACGGCCCTGTCGAGCCCACGTAGAGAGGGTGCGGTTTCTGTTACTGCTGGACCGCGCGGGCTAATTTGAAACCGGCCCGAAATTGTCCCGCGCGGACATGGACACACACACACACACACAGAGAGAGAGAGAGAGAGAGAGAGAGAGAGAGAGAGAGAGAGAGAGAGAGAGAGAAAGAGAGAGAGTAGCAGTGTGACCGCCGTCATGTTGCCTGTACCCCTATACATGCCATCTTTCCAGTCGGGTACAGGCAACATGAGGGTCTCCGACATGACTGTATAAAGGTGCGAATTTGTCCCACGCGGACGTGGAGAGAGAGAGAGAGAGAGAGAGAGAGAGAGAGAGAGAGAGAGAGAGAGAGAGAGAGAGAAGCAGGGCGACCCGATTTTGCCTGTACCGGACCCGAAACATAGGTTGTATACATTCATTATTCAGTTCCGTTATGTTGGGGAAGACCGTAGACCCTGATAATGAGTGTATAGAAGCTATGTTTCCCCTCAGGTACAGGCAAAACGAGGGTCATGAACATAGCAACAGTGTGCGTTATGTTGGGGGAGGATGGTAGCTACGAACGCCATACTCTCTCTCTCTCTCTCTCTCTCTCTCTCTCTCTCTCTCTCTCTCTCTCTCTCTCTCTCTCTCTCTCTCTCTCTCTCTCTCTCTCTCTCT